TTTATAGCATTTTTAGCAGTTTTGGCACTGTAGCAAATACAAAATATTTGAAATATTTTTTTTATTTTTTTTTATTGGTTTGTAAGAATTCTAGTTGGCTGGGTACCATGCAAAGGGTAATATTAGGTAACGAATTAGAACTTTGCTAGATTCTTTTAAAAAAGTACAGAAAGTAAGTACATCTAGAACGACATTAATCTTAAGTATTTTGAGTGTTGTTTTTTTGGGGGGGATGAAATGGTTGGGAAGAAAAACAGTCTTTGTCCTCTCTTTAATTTCTAGAGGTTAACAGCCAGCACAGGAAGCCGTCAACGCAGCCGTCTGTCTGTCATGGCTCAGTATCTCTGCACTGTCAAAAACTGTTTCACCATCCCAGGATGTGCCTTTGTTCCAAAACCTAACGTAAGTCCCTTTCTTCTGCCATTTATGTTTCTGTATCTCTCTGTGTTTGACTGCTCATGTGGAAGGATGTGGGTGTTAGCTCATTAGAAGAGCACAGTCAATGTTGTCTTAGATATGGAATCAGAGATGGCAACGCTTGGTGTGTAATGATGCCCACAGGGCATTTGGTACGCTGTTCTTTTGCACAGTAAGGAAAAAAGAGCCCGTTTGAAAATTTTAGCCTTGCTGCTTTTACTCCACTAGATTTTTGAGTTTTGGGGAATGCCAGGGGTTTGTGGATAAGAGGGTCTTATAAAAGAAAGTACCTTACGCACAAAGTTCCCTTGTCTGTAAATATTTTATCCAGCCAGAGTGCTTTGGAATGAAGAAGAGAAGAAAGGAAAGTGGGAGGAATTGCGCATTTTCTTGGACTAAATGGCACGGATGATTATTTCAGTTTTACACAACTGATGAAAGAAGTATGCTGCTTCATGAGGTTTCTCACAAGAAGTTACTGAAACATCTCCAGATAAAAATTGTACAAGAGTGATGATGCACTGTAGACATACCCTGAGAAAAAGCTTAATTGCACTCTTTGAAAAACATAGGCTAACACTTGTAAGATATCTGAGGGATAAGTACTGACAGGACAACAAAAAAAAAAACTTCAAACTGTGTGCTGTTGGAAGACACATTTTTTGAGAAAATCTAATTTCTTTGTTGGCTGAAATTTAATGAGAGGTATTCACCTTTAGACCTTTATCTGTATGACATTTAATCATCACTGGTGTTTGTCTTCACGTGTCTGATGTCAGGAAGACATTAATCTTGTGGAAAGGCAGAATAATAATCGGTGTTAAATGAGAAATAACTGCTTATCTTGTTCGCATTTTGAGTATGACTTAACATGCAGTTAATGTTCTAGTGACTAATAAAGATTTGCCATTACTGTTGCTCACAGCTTCAGCGTGTTGCTCTTCTCACAGTTTGTGCTGTGGATATGAACAACATCAAATTGTGTGGCTTGTTGAGATCTAAAAAGGTCTTTAAAAACGTAATAAAATTATATTTATTATCAATTTTATCATATTTAATAAATGATAATAAAATAAAATTGGCCAGAAGTCAAACAGACTTGGATTGAAGAAAAGACCCGAGTCATATCTTGGGACTCAAATCTTTTGACATGGGCCAGTGATCAACCACCATGCAGCAGGACTATCTAGTAATGCCCTTATAACCACCCAGAAGACAGTTTTGTGCTGCCAAGCACCAATCACATTTTCTTCAGAATAAAAAAAAAAATTAAAAATCTAGTTTACACAGTTTTTTGGCCATAGGGTGTGTGTGATATGTATGTGTTCTTTTTATGCTTACATTAAAAGCAATGTATTCTCTTTGATATTAGTTCAAGATTTTATTACAGCAAATTTGCCTTTGCCAGTTTATTTGCTGTACAGAGCTGTGGTGGTATGAATGCCATCTGTGTTGAAAAGGCTTACCCTAGAGGACTGCTCGCATCTTTTGAAATCAGCATTAGTTGTGTGTGTGTGTCATCTTAGAGTTGGCTGTGGAGTCTGCATACTGCTTTTAAAGTCAACCTGGTATCAAAATTATGTAGTTTCTCCGGCATTAATAATAAGAATGGTCTAGGTTTTAGGCAAGTTGATGGATCAGCAACTTGCCCTTTTGCGCCAACACTGCATTGCCACAGCATATCTTATATTTATTGATCTTGTACATCCATTTTTATGCCTTGCAAATTATTCTGATTTGTCAGATTGATAATGTTCAGTAAGTGGCTAACTTAGATGAGGTTTTCCAGAAATTGTAAATATGGCTGGTTATGGTCTTGGAAGCATTATACTTTGTGTATTAATTTCTAGATTCATATTAAAACTATTTAATCATAAAATGCCCCTCTGTTTATATATATACATACATACATACATGCATACATAATATTATTTATTTTTTTTACTCTGTTTGTAATTCAAGTTAGAGGGGCCTGTAGCGTAAAGACAGTTTAGCTGGCTGAGTTTTAAATTAGCTTGCGCCAACCAATCGGCAAATTGGACTAATCGGCAGTCAGCAATGAGACACATCTCGGAACTAATTAAGTCACTCCCCAGGTTCTCTTGATCCAAATTAAAGGTCACTTACCAGTAAAATTATTTGAATTTGAAAAAGAATCAACACTAAAAGCGTTTTTATTATTATATAGTTATTTTATATAATTAGTTTAATTATACCTTTTTTCATTACACATTAGCCATTACAGTTTAACAATTAATATTAAGCTTAGTTTAATTATAAATATATAGATATGTAATATGATGAAATATGTAATATAAATAAATGTAATAATTTTAAAAAGACTCAATATATAAGGTTTAAAGTTAATTTGTAACTGTATGAGCCTAATTGGATTGGTTTGGTTTTGTCAACTTGAAACCAATCCTGTTTAACCCAAAGTTGGTTTCATCTAGCTTCATGGTGCAGGCCCCTGTAGTCATTGTTAATGTTTTCAAATAAAACGCTATTATGTATTTTTTTTTGGCAGAATATAGTTTTACCTGTATCTTCGTCATCCAGTGCACAGTCCCAGTCGGAAATCAGTGTGTGTGAATTGGTCCAGAGATCACAGTACATGAACACTGTGAAAAGTTAAAAGGATTTATTGAATGTTTAGAGAGAAGATGCGTCTGGGAGTAAGTTGCCACACATGGTGTATAATACACAGCCTCCTGTTATGCTCTTGTCAAAGTAACTGGATCAGAGAACTGAATATTGTGCAGCTGGTAATTAGCAGTAGCTCATTCACTGTATTTTGAGCACTACATTCACACTATGGGTTGAATTATTAGATTTGCCACGTTTCATTTCCCTGCAGAACCCCTCTGTAAGGTCAGAGAGAATTAGCTGCAGCATTTCAGAACAGGACTGAGTTGTTCTATTTATAATCACGAGCATTAGCTGATATTGGCATGCCACTAGGGGTGTTTTTTTTATATGTGGCTTTTTTTTAATTTTTATGTCTGGCAGTCTTGTGTGGACGCTGCAAGGCACCTTATTCTGTCACATTGAGTGACTATGGTTGTCCTTGAAGGCTTGTGTCCACAGTGATTGGTTGTGCATTGTATGTCCTCAGGCCCACGCTGCACTCGCTGGTCTCCTCTGTCACGGATCACACTTGACACCCCCACCAGGTGCATGCAAGGCTTTAACCCCAGCACTTGCCCACGCGGTGACTGCTATAGGAAATGTTAAATTGTGACATATTTAAACAAAAGTTCTCATTTCTAACATTTGTCTTATTCAGCTGAATAATCACGAGCATTAGCTGATATTGGCATGCCACTAGGGGTGTTTTTTTTATATGTGGCTTTTTTTTATTTTTTATGTCTGGCAGTCTTGTGTGGACGCTGCAAGGCACCTTATTCTGTCACATTGAGTGACTATGGTTGTCCTTGAAGGCTTGTGTCCACAGTGATTGGTTGTGCATTGTATGTCCTCAGGCCCACGCTGCACTCGCTGGTCTCCTCTGTCACGGATCGCACTTGACACCCCCACCAGGTGCATGCAAGGCTTTAACCCCAGCACTTGCCCACGCGGTGACTGCTATAGGAAATGTTAAATTGTGACATATTTAAACAAAAGTTCTCATTTCTAACATTTGTCTTATTCAGCTGCGCTTGTCTATTAGCACGCTATATGTATATGTATATATATATATATATATGTATATATATATATATATATATATATATATATATATATATACATATACATATAGCGTGCTAATAAACAAGCTGCACCATAACAATATATGAATAGTTTGTCTTTATAATTACAAAACCTCTTCTGGTAATACTATCTACAGATAATCATCTTCATTTCAGTGTATCTTTTACCATGTTAAGCTAACAAAAAATAAATTGCTTTCAAATGAGGTTACACAAAAGGTGTAAATGTTTGTCTTCTTATGAAGAAGATTTGCTGTGAACATGCTAGGGTGTTGAACAGTGCTCTCAGTAAATTTAATAATGATAAACACAATCTTTGCAGAGCTTTGAAGAAATATGAAATCCCAAAGCACAATTTAAAAAATCATCTCAGTCCTTTCAAGCCTGCCCTATAGTGAACTTGACCTGCTTGTGATCCTAGAATGAATTACTGTGCTTTGGAATTTAATATTAGTTGATATTTTAGTTGATAAACTTCATATTTATAAATGATCTCCCAGTACAGATGACAGTCTTTCGAAAACTTTAAATCATCTTGCATTTGGCAAACAGAACTGTACACCTGTACATACATTTGCAAAGTAGTCATGAGTTTGGCACATTCACAACTGTAACATTTCAGTGCATCGTTACTTTTTGGAGGGTAGGAGGAGTGCTTATTGCATTCGGTAATGGTGCATGGGCAGTCGTTATTGTCCAGGAGCTGGCATGGTCTGCTGAGGAGGGCGTAATCTGCCCTAGAGGGGCAGCACAAAATCTGGCTGTGCCCAAGCAGCATGCCCGCCGCCGCCTGCAGGGGGCGAGCTGGGCCCAGCCATCTGCTCGCCTATAGGAATCTGCTTGAGAGGAAGAATGCGCTGTGCTATCCATCACTGCCAGAGCAGAACAACACTGAAATTGCATTCCTCCCTTCAGCAGCATAGAAATGCATGGCTGCATCCAAGCACAACACACTTACATCACTCTTGGCACAAGTTATATATGCAGGGGAGGGGGCATGCTTATGAGGGGGTGTTTATGTTGTACACATGCATTGGCAAATTTGCACATGACATGCAACTGTTCTGGCTGTCAGAGGCAACATCCATAAGCGCTCGGGGAGAACGGGATGGCGTGCACTGAGGGAGGTAGTGAATGAAGTTTCCCCTACTTAAATGAATAGTAAAATCTCTATGGCCAGTATTTTTGACATGTTGTCTGTTTAACAGAGACAAAAATTTACTAAGTTTAAGTTCATATAAAAATGCATCAGTGGCAAGCCAATTAAAATGGAAATGCATTTAAAGGGATTGTTCACCCAAAAATGGTGAAACCATTTTTTTTTCATCATTTAAGGTTCCAAACTTGTGTGAACTTCTGTTGAACACAAAAGAAGATATTTTGAAGAATGTTAGTAACCAAACAGTTCCTGACTTCATACAGGTTCCAAATCTGTAGGAGTTCAAACTCATACAGGTTTGGAACAACCTGAGGGTGAGTAAATGATGACAAAGTGTTAATTTTTGGGTGAACTATCCTATGCGTGAAGGTGTGTGAGCAGCACCATAAATAAACACTTTAAATGTTTAACTCTTTCCCTTTTTCTCGTAATCGACAGCATGCCACAGACGATGAATAACCTGAAATATTCCTTTTAGATGACGTAAAGTGTAGGTGACAATCTGTCAGCAGATGCACTGCTGATGCATTTATAGACGAATGTGGCTGCTTATTCAAATTTGGAAAAAAAGATCTACTTCCTGTGAGAGTGGACACAAGCAGATTGCAGCCTTATCAGGTGCCACATGCTTCCATAAAAACGCTGCCAGTTACTGAAACTCAATCTCGTCTTTGTTGATGTAATGTCTGTTAAACAAATCTGCTGCACGTATATTGTCTACTGATCATATTCTCAAGCTCGGAGGTGGTCAGCAGGGTACGGACCCTCCCATCTGAGAGAAGGGGTGTTGCAGAGGCTTGGTGTCTAGACACCGATCCTCTGCTGTTGGCTGGAGTGATTTATGACAGCCTCCAGCTCGTCACAGACAGGACCACCATCCTCTGAGTGTGCAGAGAGACACGACCCTAGACAATACATGTATTTGGGTGTAGAATCCCGTTTCCATGGCAGTGAGAGTAGCAGCATGAGTAAAAAGCACACATGCAGCACGATGAGTGTGCGTGTGATAGAGCGGCAAACAGCATGCCCTGAGCTCAAGGCAGCTTGAACAGCACAACATTACATCGTCCATTTGACGTAAGAAGGGGCAGTCTCCTCTCAGCCTCGATATGAATTTCCCATACATGCCTGGCCCAGCAACCCCCATTCACTCTCTCCTCCTACTTCTCTCCAAACAGTTTCAGCGGTTTATGTACTACAGCTCTTTAGGCACAGGCTATATGGCTACAATTCAGTCTACATCAGGCATTCCACTGCATTATGGACAGGCTCCAGAAAGCATGCTTAGGCAGAATATCAATCATCCTATCAGCTACCAAAATAAGACAAGAGATTTCATTAACAACCATTACTCAAATAGAAAGAAAAGCAAAGAATCTACCAAACAAGGGCTCTCCCATACTGTTGCCTCTTAGAGACATATTGCCATCTTACTTTAACAGAGGTTACCAAACGATTGTTAGCAGCTAAACGACTGTTTCTGAGTTCAAATCTTTGGGAAGGGGGGTAGGATTTGAAGTAGCAGAAACATTCCCTTGTTGCTAATCCGGTCCCAGAGGAACACTTTAATACGATTTACTAGGATGCTGGATATGTGCATTTATTTATCGTCTTGCTCAGTCTTTCACACCGCTTTAACTGCAGCGTTGCTGCCACTCGCCCCTCAGTATTCACGATCCGTCTGTTCGTAGACATCGTTTAAGGGAATACTTCCACTGTTTTGTGCTTGCTGATCTTAAAAAGGGGAGAGATGGAAACGATAAGGGAAATGCTTCAAAGTTGCGGTCCCTCTCGCCCTTTCACGTTGTAATCACGAGAGCCAAGAGGTGGAGTGGCAGTGCATTGCACTTGTCTTGCTCCAGAACTACCCTATACGTAGTCCTGCAGGCTGTAGCCAGTCTTGTTATCCAGCGGGGAGAGAGAGCAGTATTGGTGCTGGAGCTGGTCCTGTTGCTGCTGTTGCTGCAGCAGTTGCTGCTGCTGCTGCAAGAGGAGTTTATCCGGCGGGAGAAGTATCAAATCCTGGGGGCCGTGTCGCTTCCCCGAGCAGGACAGACAGAAAATAGATCCACCCATGAAAAGGAAACCAGACGAGATGAAGGCTACGTAGACAGCACCGCCCGGCTCAAACTTGTTGCTTTCTGGCACATTGGCGTCCAGGAAACTGACAATAACCTCATTTGTGTACCAGGAGGCAGGAACAAGGCAAAGAAAGCCAGAGGCCAGAAAGCAGGTGCCGGCGGCCATGGCAGCGTGACGTTTAGCACGCCGTCCCCCACCCCAGCGAGTGCACTTTAAACCCAAAGAGGCCAAAAACAGTCCCAGCGCTGCCAGCACGCAGGAGAGCACCATAGTGGTGCGTGCCGTCTGGAGGTATGCGGGCAGTGCCAGCACAGAGTATTTTAGCGTACAGCTGAACATGCCAGTGCTGTACCAGGTGCAGTCCATCCACAGCCCCTGCATCTGCGAGATGGCAGTGATGATGTTGGAGCCAACATCCGCGCTCACCTTCCAGTTAGGCAGTAATGTGGCCACCGTGGCACCTAGGATGCCTAGCAATGCCAGCACGAAGGCGAAGATCTGCGTGCCCGTGGACGCCATCCTGCCGCGTTCCTTAACTCGGCCAACATTCACACAAGCTTGCCTAGTCCCCTCTCCTTCGGCTGCAACTGCGACGGCAGAGACTCCTCAGCACCGCCGCCTGCCTGAGGAAATAAGTGAGAGAATTAAATGAGTGTCCTCCTCCTCCCCCAGCACACTGGGAACAAAGAGAAGTGTGCACACAGGATGATGAGGAAGCAGGTTCGTGCCTCATACCCACATCTCTACTGGAGAACTGAGTTCTTAGTGGAGTGATAGAACATGTACGCATTGTTGCCATGTCTGATAATAACTGGAGTCTGATTCTGTTTTCCATACGGTCAGGTAAAGGAAATAAAGTATCGTTTCAGACACACGAGCGCACAACTTGTCAGCACGTTTTCTTTTTCCTTTGTTTTTACCAAGGCAATATCAGAAATCTTTTAGGTTATGACTCATAGTGGAGGCTGAACGGTTTATTTCTAATACGGAGCGGAATGCAGAAATCCTGTCCTTACCTCGGCTGGTGCAGAGCGAGCTGTGACGCGTCAGGTTTCCGAGCACACACGTACACACACTGCTGAGTATAGACGCCCGTAGTTGTGTCGTTGGCGATCCGTTCGTGTCATCCGTGTCTTCAGCAGCAGCGGTATGTTAGAGGACATCAGTGATGGAGCGACGATGCTGTTTTCAAAGATGCACGAATGATGGTCTACGTCACGCAGCAGCGATCTCTCAACTTATTTGCGATTTAAGACCCGTCTATTATTTAATGTCCTAAGCTTTTTGATTCGATTTAACGTCGATTTTGATTGAGTTTATTTATATATATATATATATATATGCTGATTTAAGTTGCACAGGTTAATTGTTTTGGATTTTAAATATTTAATTTAACGGGGAAAAAAACATTCTTATTGAGCATCTTTGTTTTCCAGTTAAAAATAAAAAAATAACGAAATATCCCTAAAATGATTTGAAACATCATGAAATGGAAATAAATTTATTAGAGAAGCAATATTTTTGCTGCTTGTCATTTTGTTCTACAGGCAGTAGACACTTAGACACTTGTTTAATGCATAAAACCGAATTAAAAAGTGTGTGTGTGTGTGTGTGTATATATATCTATATATATATATATATATATATATATATATATATGTGTGTGTGTGTATATATACGTGTGTATATGTGTGTGTATATATATATATATATATGTATGTGTGTGCGTGTGACCCTGGACCACAAAACCAGTCTTAAATTGCACCCCCCCCCCCCCAAAGCACATGCTGTGTGGGTAGTGGACAAAAGGCATGGCCCTTTCACCTGCTATTAAAGGAGTTTCACTAAAGTGGCAATGCACCACAATCACCCTAATCATAATATGACTAGCCAGCAGGAACATTCACTCTGCAGGAGGATGAACTCACAGCTGCTGCCCCTATAAACCCTACACCCCCCACCCCTGCCGTCCTCCATCCGTCCTCTCCTCGCTGCAGGGTGGGAGTGGCTATATGGCATTGGTTTAGAAATGACAAAGAGGGCAAAGAAGGACAAAACTGAATCTATCTATCTGTCTGTCTGTTTGTAAAAATTAAAAATTATCAATATTGGAGCTGTAAGTCAAAATCAGTACTTTTACACAGGTCAAGCTGAAGGTGTAGACTTATACTCTTATATTTAGTGGTGATGATCTTCATTTGAATGCATTTAGGCCCTAGTGGGGTTTAAAAATGTTGTTGCTGGTTTGTGTGTCCTCACCTTGTGCATTTAAGTGCTGCTGCTGGAATTGTGCTGGAAAATAACTAACTAAAATATGTAAACAATGTGTAAGGGGTGCCGCTAACATGTACCCAGGGAATGTGTGTGTCGGGAACTGACGTGTGAAGGCACAGAAAGCAATTATATGCATGGTGCCTTGATTTGATCACCTCTAGCTATCATGTGCAAAGGCTTGAGATGGACATCGAAATTGTCATTTCTTGAGAGACGGGGTGGTGGTGGGGGGTGTGCTTTTTTATTGTTTAGGATGAGATCCATTTGTTATTCACAGCTGCTGATGGAGACATTTCATTACCCTGCTGTAGCTGTTTGCCTGTAATGCAGATGTCAAAATGGTCTTACTGCAACTGCTACAGAAATGGCTGTTTAAATTCATGATAATAAATGGAAATTACTCTCTGCTGTGTAAGAGGGAAGTGCATGGGTTTCCACACTACCTTGATTTATAGCCTCTGTGCTTTTTCTTGTGACTTTACTGTTCAGTAAAATAGAAATGCTTTTCATTGATCTTGCATTCGTAAAGTGCTTAAACATAGGGCCACTGTTCATTTAGCCCTTCTTAACTTGCTTACCCTTTATGTCCATCTCGCCTCGTGTCTTCAGCTAGACACCTTAGAAGCCTGTAGTCTCATATAGGCTGGAGAGAATCTCCATGAGAATCAATTCATATCTGATTCTCAAAGCACATCAGTAGTTCCTTTGGTTCCCATCAATGCCTTGGGCTGTTCATAAAGCGTAGGACGAGCCATTCCCACAGTAAAAACAAGCCTCACTGACAAAAGCCCTGTCAGCCTGCGCTGGTTACATTCTCTCTTTCCGCTTCCTTATCTGAGCTGAAGTAAGAGTGGTTGTCTTTTGAAAGTGCTGTCATGATTAATGTATCCCTACTCATTGCGGGACTATTTTCTCCTTTACTGTTTGCATTTCCAGCCGCATACTCCATTGTTTCACTGGCAGTTATGTGAAGGAAATAATGGTTACTCAGATAGCCCTGAGGGACTTCCACCTCAATTTGATCATTCTCGATTAGAAATTACAAATTAAAATCCACACCCTTTGTATTGGGGGCACTTGCACTTGGGTGCAAATGAGAAAGGGAACCTATACAGTACAGTAGGGGGTAAATATTAGGGCTGGGTTTTGACACAAATTTCACGATTCGATTTGATTCTCAATCACATGCTTGCGATTCATTTTGATTACCGATTCAATTCAATATCGATTATTTTGGATATATGTTAGGTACAGTACATGGCAAATTTTCTCAAGGAAAATTTTTTTTCTCAACTAATGCTTTAAAATATACATGATAGTCAGTTGGTACTACATTACTATAAAATAAAATTGAAGGTTAAAATTGACTGATTTGTAGGTAGGCTATACAACTGCAAAAATTACACTTAATGACGTTTTTAAAATAATAAAGTTACAATTACATAATAATATTTCTACTTCATTTCGTTGTTTTGAAATATAAACATTTAAATGGTGGCTGTCAAAAACTTTATGGATTTATTCAAACAAATTAAACTGAAGAACAGTAAATTTTATAATAAATATGTTAGGCTATATGGTGCATATACAGTATTTAGCAAAATGCCACTCTACAGTTTATTTTTCTATCTGACTAATGTTTATGGTCACCTAATAACGTTGTTTTTTCTGAGGTAAATGTGACGTTACGTGACATTGTTCACAAGCCGTTATATTTTGACGTGTTTGCGCTGCTGAAACGGATTGTAAAGTTGTACTCTTTCTTGAGTCAGTTGGTACTACATTACTATAATACTGAAGGTTAAAATTTACTGATTTGTTAAAATTACACTTAATGACGTTTTTAAAATAATAAAGTTACAATTACATAATAATATTTCTACTTCATTTCGTTGTTTTGAAATATAAACATTTAAATGGTGGCTGTCAAAAACTTTATGGATTTATTCAAACAAATTAAACTGAAGAACAGTAAATTTTATAATAAATATGTTAGGCTATATGGTGCATATACAGTATTTAGCAAAATGCCACTCTACAGTTTATTTTTCTATCTGACTAATGTTTATGGTCACCTAATAACGTTGTTTTTTCTGAGGTAAATGTGACGTTACGTGACATTGTTCACAAGCCGTTATATTTTGACGTGTTTGCGCTGCTGAAACGGATTGTAAAGTTGTACTCTTTCTTTTAACTTACCTTTGGATGTTTAGTCATGTTTATTTTGTGCTGAAACTGGTATTAATGTGGAGGAGTTGATCAGTTCACGTGTGCCCTGTGCTGCCGTGTCTGTTGAACTGAGACGCTACAGCGATCTGTCACTCCACATTAAACTGCGCCAAAAAACAGCATTTATTGTTTAAATACTGCAATACAATCCGTGTATCATTTGTTTTTTTAATTTAATATTGAAAGTAAAAAAAATAAGAAAACGGCTCCTTTTTCGTTTTTTTTCCAAAAAACTAAAAATGAGAATTCAGCTTAAATTTTCATTTTTCGTTCATGGGTGGAAAAATGAATAAACAGCTTGAATATTCGATTTCTACACGTGGGCGGGAAATAAACGACCCTTTCTGCTGATTGGTCAGTCGAAGATCAAACCGTGCCGCCTTCAGTTCTTCTGCAGTATCATGCAGCAGAATAATAGTCCTCCACTGCTGCAGTTGTACGGATTAATAACCCATTTTATCAATTACATTTTTTTCTCATCAAACAGACTAATGAATAGCTCGACACAACTCGTACAGGGGCAGAGTCTAGACAGGTCTTTCTTCTGTGTAGACCAGCGTTCTTAAAGTGATAGGGGGTCCAAGAAATAATTAGCTATAGCCTAAAGTATTTCCAGACTGTAAAGTTGCTTTTTTTATCATGATACATAGGCCTACTGTGATTTATTCCAAAGTGACTTATATGATGCATTTAACGTCAAATAATCTAAATGAAGCCTTTTAAAAGACAAGTATTCACTGTGGTTCATGTTTGTGGCATGCGCCAGAAAGATGCTCAAGGAGACCGAGACGCGCTAAAGCAGCGCATTCTGTTGTTCTCTTTATTTTTCAAAGGCATGACATTTTGTAGTTATTTTGAACGTAACGTTACACAATTAAAAATATACATTTTTACCATAGGACAATAAATGGCAGAGTATTAAGTTATTTCCCCTCGATTGGGGAAAAAAAATTGTGAGCATCAATCAGTACTCAATATTAATTTAAACTGCTTTAAATATGACTGCTGCTTATTTCCTGTGCACTTCAATACTGATCTGCGCTTGACTGT